TGTCACTAAAATAGTTCCAGGACGAGCTGTGGTGTCCTGCTGCAAAGGGCACAAATGCTTTCATCACCACACAGCCAGTAGCCAGGGGAGGTGAGAGACGAGGGGAGCACAGTGATGAGGATGTTAAACTAGCAGGGACGGAACAAGCCTCAGGGAACCAGGTGATGTCTGACGCCTCCCACTGACACTCCTCCTTACTGCTCTCTTACAGGACAAAAACACAGCTGGAATTACACAAGGCAACCAAGTCCTTCAAAAGTGAGGCTTGTCTGAAAATGCAGATATGAATTCTAATCATTCATTACTTTGTTGTTGTTTGTTTGTCATTAGTTTGTTACAAATCCTATAAGTGGCAGCCATTATGCTTATTACAAAGGGTCAAAATCTGACAGTACAGATATACTTCCTCAGATAAAATGTGTTATCAGGAAGCATGGAAACTGTGAGAGATGCAACAGACTACAGCTGAAACGCTTTGATTAGCTGAACAATAGAAAACATAATTGGCAACAATTTAGATATTCTATTAATAGCCAATTTTTAAATAAAATTGCACTACATTATCTGCTTTCAGTTCTGCGTTCCACCCTCAAAGGGCCAGACTGATCCTTGGCACAAGACCAATACATAACATAATCGTATGTACCTGATTTAACCCAAGCACATTAGAGAAATAACACAGTAAAGTTAACCCAAGGCACTCAAGATACAAATCCCTGCAGACTCTTCTGTGTAATTCAGTATTTTTCCATATGTACAAAGCTGTTTGTATAATTTTTCTTTTTCTGTATGTCATATACAGTATGGCACATACTTACACATACATAAGAGCAGATAACTGAGTAAGGAAACATTTACATTAAAATGTGAAATTGTGTTACTCTGTTGAAAATATAAGTAAAAGTAGGTATTTTTTTATTAGACCACATTCCTCAGTTTTACTCTGCATACAGCTGCATGATTCCAGCTCAGCTGGACGTTGCTGCTCTTGTTTAAATTTGTGGCATGTTTTGAGCTGGTTAGGGATACTGCAGATGAATAAAGCATCTGACAAGGAAAACAAAGTATGATGACAGACAAGAGAAGACAAGGGATTGGCAGTAAGACAGGTAGGCATGTGGAGATGTGGCCTGAGGGAAAGAGACGGGGTCATCTACCCAACCCCCCTCTTTTCCAATATTTCCCAACATCGCACTATTGAAGGGGAAAAGGTTAGCGAACATTTGCAGACGGGCCCCGGAGAAGGTTATGTTCTCCAAAGACAAACACAGCTTCAGTCTTTCTCACACACAAAAATCCTATGCTGTGAGAGAAATAGCCTCAAGGCTTAGCTTCTGTTTTGTCTCAACTCTGTAGCTCATATCCCACAAGAACCTACTCCACTGTTCTTCCCCATCTCCTGTCCTACAAAAGTCTTACATCCTGACACTAAAAATTTTGCGCCTTCCAGCCCTTCACATCCCCTGTTTGTTTTTACTATTGTTCTATTTCTCCATCCCTCTGAGAAGAGAAAAAAAGACCAGACTACATCAGACTCCTTCAGTCCGGGTTCAGGCCATCTAGTCTGAAAGTGAGATTGTGCTCCAGTCTGCCCATCTGTACACGTACATGTTGATGCTTCCAGGCATATGAGCATCTACCAGCACCATTACACAGAGCTAAAGATGAATAGGAAGGGTGTAGTCAGTCAATCAATTAATAAGCAGCTAATTGTAATTAATCCCACAGGCTGAGCACCAGCTGCAGAACAGACCTAATGCTGCGTTTTCACACACCCCCCCCACTCTCTTTAACAGAACTACCACCAGGGGACAGACATATGAATCTCAGTTTTAGAGCACGCTAAAGTACCCTGCTTTTGCAAACAAGTCATAAACGCTCCCCAATTAGCAATAATCAAACATAACGTTTACTAATAATTGCATCCCCTAGTGCCAGCTCCGACTGAACTCATAGGCTGCAGCACGAGTTACTGTTTAACAAGAGTTGAGATAAAGTGCAGACGCTTAGTGTATGAATCAAACTAACTAAAAGTGAAAGGAAACTTAGCAGAAAATCTCTGTTGACCAAAAAACGGTTGACATGCAAGAAGTCTGCAAATAACCCCCCCAGCCCAAGTTGTCAAGTGGCCGATGTGTACATGTTTGTGCACATGACAACAGAGTCAATTTTTAATATTTCGACTGCTGTCCTGAGCAAGAGGAGAACTCAAAGCTCTGATCGAGCAGCCATAACCACAAACTCAACTCAACCACCAAAGACAGAGAGAAAGAAAATTATATGCAAAAGCATCGCATTAGCATTGTAAAGATAATAAAAGACTTTGCCAGCAGCAAAAATTTAAGTCAACTGCGCCTTTAGTCATGAAGGGAGCTGCAGCATGAAGATGGGAACACACAGACATGGTTTTAAAAAAAAACAAGCTTGTGTGTTTTAAGCTTACCTTGGAGTACTGTCTACGAAGACTGAAGCGCTGCACCATCCTGACTGACTGACTGATGGAGCCACAGCTGGACCCCCTGCTCTACGCTTCTCCACTCATATCCCTCCAAAGTACACACCGCTCACATAGTACGCTCCACACACATACACACACACACACACATACTGAAGGCACACACGCTACCTTCCTCTCCTATCCATGTGCACACACATTTCTAGTCCACGCCACTTTCTCCAACTATACAAACACAAATGAGGAGAGAGAAAGATAAAAAAAATGGAGGGAGTGAAAGCAGAGATAAAGTCAGCTCAGCTGTGTTGCCCTCTACTCATATTCACAGTGATCCCCTGAGCTCTGTCGCTTTCTCTCACAGACACAGTCACTCCCACAAGATGCTAACACCACATGGCTGTCAATGCGCAAGTGATTTCCAGTACACACACACAAACACACACATACTCGTGTAGATGAAAATGAGGTTTTACAGTCACACGGATACACACCCCTCCACATCCTCTCTAAACCATAGCCCTGATAACACATTCACACACAGCGAGTGCTCAGCTCTCACTCATCTACGACGAGGCAAGGTTGCCTCCTGCTTCCTGTCATTGAGCCGAAGGGTGGGGTGAGGAGGAGGAGGTGGTAGAGGAGGAGGAGGGGGAGATGGGAGAGGAGGAGGGACCAGCTGACTGTCTATACTAACTCTCTCCAGGGACAGAGGGAGGGGAAGAGGGAGGGAAAGAGAGAGAAAATGGAAGAAAAAGCAAGTGGGGTGCAGGCAAGCAAACAAGAAAGAAAGAAAGAAAGAAAGAAAGAAAGAAAGAAAGAAAGAAAGAAAGAAAGAGGGTGAAGGGTTCAGGGTGAGGATGAAACGCCAGAAAAATTGATCACAACATTCATCACCCCTGCAACTCTACAACCCTCAACCTACACTAACAGCAGGATGTCACACACCTCCAAGGTCGACCACACTGTTACTATGGCAACCCAAGCAGGGCGTAGTTCTAGGCAGCAAGTTTTCGGCGTAACCACGGCGACTGCTTGGATGACCTGCTGTGTGTCTGTGCTGAGATGGGGCTCTGATGTTAGCTACAGATGAACAAGACAAGGGCGAGACCACAGAGAGGTTGATGGTCGCCTGTCACAGCAGCAGCAGGGCTAATGGAGCACAGACGTCTGGCTCTCAATCCCACTTCGTCATCTCAGGTGAGGTCATTTTCACAGGACTGAAGGACACTGGGTTTTTATGGATGAAGAAATGGGGAATGACTTGAATGACTCTATTAAATCTAGCTCACAGATTTCAGCTGTCCGTTATCGTGTATATCAACGCCCATTGCTGGACTGATAGCCAGCCATCACCTTCATCTGTGACACAGAGTCCATGGTGGGCTTATTTCATTAACCCAAGGAACAGGCAAGTCCACCACAACCTTGAGCTCATAATGCAAACACAGCCTCCACATGAACCAAGCCCAGTGCCACTCACGGCAGGTTAGCTGATCTGACAGTGACCTCTGGTGGCAAACAGATCAAACTGTAGCCTGGAATAGCTACGGTAATGTGGTTAAAAATCAGGACTTGAGGTTAAGTTTAAAGATCAGATTGTAGAAGGTTGTGAAACCAATACAACACAAAAAAACACATTTATGCCACTTCCAATACAGACATGGCAGAAACTGCAGACCAAGCACTACACTTAATGATCTCTGGATTAAACAAACTGTGGTCTTAGAACAAAAGACACAACCTTATATCACAGCATTTAGGGGAAGAGGTTCACACTTTTTCAAATCTGTCAGGTGCTCCTGTGTACACTGAAACAGTTGTTCATTCAGGCCATTAAAAGACAATGTCCTGTAGCACTTCCATGGGAAGTCATAAAGGACACAAAATCCACAGTCTGAAATTATTATGAGGCTTCAGCAGTCTTGAGTAAATATTAGTTAGTTAGTTATAATAAAAAGTTCCCTCTTTTTGGTAACATGGACAGTGTTTACGCACTGAGTTGCAGTGGAGGGAGGTAACACAAAGAAGGAATTAGGCACTAAGAGACTGAAACTGTGGTGGGTAATGACTTGATTTGTTGATGGAGCCTCATCTTAGTTTCATAAAAAGTTGGAATACATACTTGTGTAGAATGAACATGAACTTTGAACCCCTATCACTTCTATTGAAAGTATGTTAAAAAACTTTAAAACTTTAAAAACTGTGAACCTATACTTAAACACTACCATATCCAAATGTGTGTGTGTTTGACTGTTTTATTTGTTAACAAACTGCACCATGGATATCTGTCTTCAGCTTGATTAATGCTGTTTTGGCCATAAGAAACACATCTTTGCTCTTGATCGATAATCAATACTGGGCAAAATCAGACAGCAGTAAAAGTCCACAGCAGAAACAACAGCGTCTGTTACATCAGAAGCAAGGTAAACCTCAGAGTTTGATTGACAGCCACTGACAAACAAGGCCTGACACCAGTAAAAGGGGAGAAGAGGCACATCGATCAGCCTGTCTAGTGATAACATGATTCACGGCTGCTGTCACTTACCCTGTCTGTCTCCTCCGTGGACTGGTACCCTGACGACAGGACCACATCACCGCCAGTGTATCCAGGGGCGGGGCTGCTGGGTGTGGTGTCGGTGGTGGAGGAGGAGCGTGGGCGGCTGGTATGCTGCTGTAGATCGTTGGTATTTCGGCGGCGTGGGGCCTGGGGGCTACCTCTCAGGAGGGGGTCGCGGTCTCCGCTACCCGATCCTGACCCCTTACTGCGCCGGCTCTGCAGGCTGGTCCCACGCCTCATCATGCCCACAGCCGCTGAGCCTTGGCCAGCTGCAGAAGGAACCACAGGAGCAGAGAGGCGGTCAGAGTCAGGACAGCAGGACCCTGAGGTATCCTCAGGGGCAGCGGGGGAGGTGCCACCTGCTGACACTACAGAGGAAGATGAGGAGGAAGACGAGGAGGTGACGGTGGAGCGAGAGAGGGAGAGGCGTTTACGCTGCTGCTGGAACAGCTGTTTCAATCCCTGGCCAAGAACCCCCATGCTCTCCCTGGCGTTCTGGCTCATCTTACTGAAAGAGGGGTGTTCTGACTGGGATGAGGCCCTCTTCAACCCTGAGCTGTGTGACCCCTCTGCCTCTTTTTTAGCTCCAGGACCAGAGCTGGGACCCACCCCCTCTGGCTCCCTTTGACTGTCATCCCTCCTCTGCATGTGGCCCCACAGACCTCTAATGAATACCAGGGAGGAATTGTCCTGTTAAACAGCCTGCTAACACTTCGGTCTCTATATGTCAGACATGCAGAGGGTCACCACAGGGCAACAACTGTGAAGGAGAGAAGACTAGACTACAGTAGATTACAGCAGAGAACAGTGGAAGCGGAGATGGGACTGTCTGATGGAGGGCTCGATCGGCTCAGTGGCGGTCAGGGGGATGAATCCAAAGAGGGATCATGCATCTTTCATTCAGGGAGAAGTAGCCATGCTGGTCTAGTACAGAGAGAGAGGAGATGTATTATGAGAGGCTGGAATGTTGCTTATGTTGCAATCACTAATTTTAACTTTTACTTGTGACCATTTTCATCGCAGAAAGTGTGAATGCACAGTAATCAGACTAGAGTTTTACAGTCTGTAGGCTGAAGAGCATTAATCAGCACTGAAGGACCAATATGAATAAGTAACTTTGCAATTATAATTTTAAAATAATACACTATTGTCACTTGGACAGGCCGCCTCGGTGACAGCTGTGCCAGTCCTCTGAATCATTCAACATTCAAACAGGCTGATGTTTCTGGAGCAAACACAAGTAATAAAAGGGAAACAAGCTGGATCCAAGTGAGCTAGCATATTACAAAAATCACAAAACAAAGCACAAATGAATTCAAAAGTAAATAGGAACATGCAGGCTATGAAAATAAACAACAGCCTGGAGGGAGATGCAGCCAGAAAGACACCAGAGGCTGAGGAAAATGATGCAGAAAAGAAGAGAAGAGCGAGAGAAGGAAAGCAATAATGACTCGGATCAGAAGAAGAAAAACCCACCTACCATCAGCCCAACTCAGCCTAGTGTGACTCACTCTTGTGGATTACCTGAGAGGGACGTGGATAGATGAGGGAGACCAAAGAAAGAAAAACAAAGAATCATTTTTAGGATTTGAAACTTCAATCTTCACTCAACATACTCAAACCACTGCACATCTCCCTCTGATAGCAATCAATAATCATTTTCACTGTGAGCTCTGAACATGCTGCGAATATTGAACAGAACATGTGTGATACTGTGTGACAAAACTTTGTGAGTGTGTGTGTTTTTTGTGTGTGTGTGTTCCTTCAGGGGCTCATTTAGTATCCCAAAGGCAACCCTTCCTTATCCTGTGGCAGTATCAAGAGACAAGGGTTTCCGCACTAGAACCAACACACAGTGTAGTGTGACAAACAACAGATCAGTGCATGATCGCCTCCTGCAGCCTTGCAAACTGCCTGGCTGAATTTAAGTCACTGACAAAACCAACAGAGACACCTGATAAAATACAAGCCGTCTTCCTCAAGAAGGAATCTTATTGGTGGAGAAGCGATCACCTCAGAGACAGACCCACAGACAGGCAGGCAGTCAGCCCGAGCCTCCCTGCAGCATCAATAGCTGCTCCCATTGAGGGCAGCAAAACAAACGAGGCAGGAACATTCAGAGCCTGGGGAGGGACAGTTACATATTCAAACTATATTCCTTCAGCTGCACTGTCGGGTCATGAAGAATAACACAAAGTTGGGCAGACAGACACGCTCACATGCACACATACTTCTCAAAACTGCAAGAGTATAATCTATGCAAATGAAGCTGCAACAGGCTTAATGCACATCACTATGAATACAGTCAGCTGCGGAGCTGTACACTGGGTTCAGAGACAGAAGAATGAGAGAATGAGCATGAAGCTACTTGCAGGTAGCATATCACAATTCACAACAGCCACACCGTCACTGAAAAGGAAACACAAACACATTCACACTGACACTTTTACTTTCTACACAAGCTGATCTCAAGTCAAATCTTGTCTAATCCTTTCTGGTCAATAAGCAGATTCAAGCCAGAAGATACTGATGTGCTTAATATAGAGGCTGCGAGAGAGAAAGAGAGAGAGAGAGAGAGAGAGCGAGAGAGAGAGAGAGAGCAGGTGTTGAACAGGTTCACTTTAGTCACCTGCTAGCTGGCTGCTGCCTGTAGCGATCAAGATATTGTGCTGTCAACCGTTAGGCAGTGGCTTTCACGCTAATAGTAACACAGCTTTATCTTGGTGTTTTACAGATTACAGCAAATATTGCAGTTATTCTACTAAATTTTCATGATGAAAAAAATAACATCAAGTTATCATAATACACAGTTCTGTTGCACATGTTCAACATTCCTATTTCTCTCAAAATGTGATATGAAGGAAATCTGATTCTTCTTAATCTTATTCTTACCTGAAGATATATAAAGAAAAGTTTTATATCACTATTAAGTTCAATACAACACAAAACTCAATTTCAATATTCAACATGATCAGGTGTTTGTTTTTTCACTGTCATTGTTCCTTCATAAAGGTAATTCTTTAACCACTTATACTTTATGTGTTGTAAAGTAGCAATAAAAAAAAACTCAAAAACGTTATCTGCAAAAAATGTTTGCTGATTTGATAATACAGGCATGTGCACACGCTCACACTGAAATGGTTAGTAAGTGGCATTTTCTGTCAATCACAGTGAAGTGTGATTGATCGTGACAGTGCACTGTGCTGTTGTTTTGGAGCTAGTGAGTGGTGGAGGGGGTAAACCTAAGTTAATCCTGTCCTCAAGCTGAAGTTGAACCTGAAGCCCCGTCCCTACCCTGGTGCCCATCCCTCCCTCTGTGTCTGTAAATCCCCTCCTTCATCCCCAAGCTCATCCCGATGCTGGATTGGATGTTTTCTTGATTGCCTACGGGTTTATATTCAAACTAAATCCTCTTTCAGGAGCCTTTAGAGGATAAAGCATTATTGTCAGACTTGGTGTAGATGCTTGTATATGCATGAGAGCTCCTGCATCTTTTGAGCAAGGCTTGTCATTCCACCTTGATGGGGTGATGACACAAAAGAACAAACACCAGATGGGTCTTCAAATGACGACTATCCTCTTCTGACCCCAAACCATGTAATTTCATTACATTATACTACTCTGACATCTAAATCAGTATTTTGTTATAAATACTGGAAAAACTAAAAAATCAAAAAAAATCTAAGAAATATAGTTAATAGGTTATAACTACTTCCTTTTTAAAATATAATGTGACAGAGCAAGAAATATCATGTTAACTATCCATTTAACCCAACACTGGAATGTTCAACAGTGTATGCTTCAGTCAAATTTTAACAAAAATATGATACTTGACTGGACAAAAATACTCTCTTCACCTGCCCCTCAGATAAACTTCAAAAACACGGTAGTGATAGCATTTTGGTGTATTTAATCCCTGTCCACCACAGAAACAGATGTGTGACAGACTATGAGCGATTCTCAGTGATTAACAGGTGTCAGTGACAGCTGGGGTCAGCAGTCTCTGTGACTCAGCATTTTCCTCAGAAATTTCTCAATGTGAAAGGTGAATGACAAACGACCATATGGACAATGGCCTCTCTGGAACCCTGTCACCCTCACTCATGACCTCATATAAATACACACACACACACACACACACACACACACACACACACACACACACACACACACACACAGAGACACTTTGTGACTCCTTGTCCTTAACTCTGGAGCTCATTCCATTTAGCTGTCTTTGGCCAGCTAAGCCAGAGAGATGGTGAAAGCTCAGCAGAATTCTGGCACTGGGTAGACTGGGGAAAAAAAGAAAAAACAACTCACACATTCACAATTTGTCATTTTGCTGACAGTGACGGGTATGTGTGAAATAATATGATAGATCCAAGATTCAACTTAATAAAACAAAGGGGTAATGTGATAAATACTAAACAGCAATCATCTTGTTTCTTTAATTTCCTGACTTCTTTGCTTCATATAAACAAGCTCTGCCAACTGCTAGTAGTTAACAATAAATCACAGTATCACAGCTCTTAAAATGCTCCCTTCAGCTCCCTGGATATAAAGCGGCAACCACTTCAACGGGGCAGAAAGGTTATATTGATGAAGATGTGGCACGTTAAGTGCTCTGAAATCACATCCATTATCATTATTGAACAAGGAAGACTGTCAAATGTAATTATTTAATACAAGATTAAGCTCCAGAGTTACAAACGTGAAGGTGACAGCTCAAATAGCTAAGCACTAAAGCAGACAATCTGCAATTTAACATAATGCAAGATAAATTATGTATCAGTACTGCGCTCTTACAGTATTTGCATGCAAATAGCAGTTCCAGTGAATAGTTCCAGTAGAACCAAAGCAAATATATGCACAATAACCTGACAACTGTTTCTTCTTGACTGTCCTGTTTAATTCTACGCTTGTCTTTAAAAAAAAAAAAGTTGCAAACTGGGCATGACCAACACAAGTGGAGGTCAATCTGGCCTGTGCTCTTTGACACTGAAGCAGCCATGTTGTTCATTGCTGAACATACAGTCAGTTAATTCAAAATATGGCCATAGCTTAAACAAGCCCGTGCAGTGTTTCCAGAAGGGTCTGAGAGCTGGCGTGGAATAGACCGCTCTTTGTTCCCACTGAGCCACACACAGGCCCATCGTTGCTCTTTGTGCTGCGCCTCTTTCACTGACAGACACACATCAATAAGAGGGGAATTAGGCCAGAGAGTTCTGGCAGCGATGTTTGTGTGACCGCATGCAATGAATGTGTGTGTGTGTTTGTATCGGACACAGAGAGAAAAGGACAGAGAAAGACACAGATAGCTGGAATTATATTGTGCGGAAATGTGCATATGTGCACATACATATGTGCATGTGTGTATTTGTGTGTGTTGTCTTGACTTTGACCAATGGAAAATGGACCATATCTCATTCAGCAGCTGCATAATGACAGCATAGGCAGGAAACAGGAACAATCGTTATTGTATTTATATGTGTGTGTGTGTGTGTGTGTGTGTGTGTGTGTGTGTGTTGGGGGGGGGGGGGGGGGGCAGAGAGGCAGATAATAGCACAGTTGTGTCAATCCTGACAGCGCAGGAGATGACTTCAGCATAGTGCAAAAACTGTGATAAGAGACACAACTCTTTGTATCAGACAGGGAGAGGGAGTAAGTGAGAGAAGGGTTAGACAGAAGGTTACAGAGGGAGTGAAAGAGACCAGGCTGGATCAAAGGCATCCAACGGTCCACGACGTGCTTTGCCTGGCTGTGTCGGGTTCAGCTCAGGCGCTCAGCAGAGATTGTGTCTGAATGAGAAGGTGAATGGTAGGTTGTTCCCTGACAGAGGCAGGCACAACGCCCTATTGTGCAAGATGAAACCCACAGGGAGGCCGCACTGCCAAAGTTGCGCTCAGCTTTCCAGGAACAGGACAAACCAGAAGACACACAATTATTTACTCATATACATACGTATCTGTGTTTGCTCAATGACACCACAGACTTGTTTACAAAAATGAAAGAATGACAGATGCTGACTATATTATAGGAGCCTGGTTCACACCTGGTATCTGAGTGAAACTAGCCTGTATACATTCTCTCTCAACCATTTTTCATCACAAATGTATGACTGCGGAAGGAAAAGCTTCAAGTACGGATGTGGAAGTCTTTCTCACGTAATATTTCTGATTTTATTTATCTCTTAGGCAAACAGGAGACCATCTGCAACTACGTCCCTCCCACTGATATTGCTGTGAAAAAAAAATAAAAATGTCGATTCCAAAAAACAAATAAAAATGCCTATGTACGCATTTATCCAACACACACACACACTCACACACACACTCACACACACACACACACACACACACTAAGACAATGGGAACAGTAGGTGGTATATTGGGTATGAAGCAAGTCTGAGTCACATAAAACAACCTAACAGAGTCTGTGAAGTGGGAAGCTGCAAAAACAAAGTGACGAAGAGTCTCAGAGGCTTGTAGATGTACAAGGCTGTAAATATCACATGTATCTCTGTGTATAGGTTGTTCAGACGAGTTGGACGGTGAATAAATCTAGACAGCAGGGCAGTCATGAGAAACACAATTTAAGACTGGCCGTGAGTGCTGAAACATTATGCGGAACGGGTCTCTACGTTTACTTGGGAAGCATTGTTTAAGGGATACTTCTGCACCTATGCTCAACATCACAGCAAGTGTCCTAATGAATAATTCACTTTGTGCATGGACCTGACACTGGTCCATGCTGAATACATCTACAGCAACACTCAGTGCAGATCTACTGTGTCCGACCTAATGGACAGTGTACTGAGGATCTGATTCTCTTTCTGTTTACAACTAAAACAGATTATCTCGAAAGGGGATTTCCAGTGGACAAGAGGAGAAATTAGTAGAGATTTAAAGCCCTGCAAAGTGGCCTTCACTTACTAACCTGATAGGTGTTTAACAGTGGCCAGGCTTACAACTTGGCCAACATAGCTCATATTCCACCCGCTCTGGCAGAGAATCATCAACTGTCAACAGGCTGGAAACCACCTACACACCAGCTGAAATCTCATACCAGAGATTGTGTTAAAGGCGCACAGCCATAAGGGATAGGAAAAAGAATGTGTGTCAGGGTCAATGCACACTTTGTGCAACAGAAGAGAGAAACCTGCCAGGTTATCAGGCCATGGGTCATCTGGCTGTTGGTGGTGCCAGCAGGTGAGAACTACTTTACGCAGTCAGATATAAATCATCCATATTGTCACCTATTTAAATAACTCTTCACTCAGATCTCTGGGTTCAGGTAACCAGACACCTCTCTAGCTCACTAGAAGCGTTAGTGGGGCTCAGCACATCCAAGCTCTGGACTTGAAGCTTTTACTATGAACATGATATTGGGCTCAGCATGTAGGCTGTGGGTCAACAATATCAAGCCTAGAGTATGGGAAAACATTTAAGTTGAAAGATGAAATTCCTCCTGACTTCCAAACCTCAACATCCACTCTTCTTTAGTCCACCATCTAAAGACAAGGAGATGTTTTAAAGGTGCTATATGAACGTTTTTGTACAACCTAAAAATACTGTAACTTTGGAAAATACTGACTGACTTACTTAAACATGGAGCTCAGCCATGTTTTAAAGTGCAAACTCTTGCGACGCTATGTGACCCCTGCCTCTTTTCTGCCTCTGTCTTCAAACAGGAAGGGATCAGAGGGAAGAAGGCAGTTCGTTGCCACTAGAAACCACAGCCTTTATAAAGGAATTTCACCTTCACTCTGGAAGTGTGGGAGTCGGTCCTCCAGGAGAGAAGAAAGCCAGTCTGTCAACAGCTAGAGCATTAAAAGCAATGATGGTGCAGACAAACTTTTTACTCATGCGTGAGTTCTGATGCTGCTGACTGCAGAAGCGATAAGAAATGATCAGTCAGTCTGTGGTATCTAAATTAAGTTGCACTATGACACCTTTGCTACCCTATGGGTTTTCAAGCAGTACAGCTCAGCTGGAAGAGGAAGGTGAGAGAGAGTGTGACACAGAGAGTGAGAGAGTGAAAGGAAAAACTGTGTTTCCTCTCTGAGATACAACACTTCCTCTTTAGCCATGGTTGGACCTTTGGTCGAGAGAATAGAGCTGAGTCTGAATGATGCTGAGAATGATTTGACTCAACTGAGGTGAAAAAATTATTATATGTATCATTTTGAATCCCTTTCTGGACATTTTTGCATCATTTGTTTGGGAAAAAGGAACTTAAAGCTACAAACGGCAACTTCACAAAAATCAATAGGGCATCTATTGATAGTACGCAGTAAAAATTATTTTGACCAATGAACATTTCTCAGTCAAGTTTCAGAATTCTTCAATAAAAGGTAAATACTATGTTTTTTGGTGTTTCAACCAAGCGGTAACCTCTGAGGCTGAAAAATGAAGCCAACATGGAAGTACCTTCTACTGGCCGCTTGAGGTTGGTTCCAAAGCGAGTCAATCCCCATAGACTCTCCTGTTAAATTGCCCAAGTTTACAGCAGAAATAAACATGTTTACAGCCTGGTACAAAAAACAGTTTTGGTCTCTATAGCTTATTTCATCCTTCATGACAACTGTACAGGGGTGAATTTTTATATACTCACCCGTTTAAATTTTGTTAAGGCACGCTGCTTTGAGTGACAGGTGGGTGAGCGTACGCCTGCCACAAGCCGGCACGCACCGAAGTCTCAGCTCCACATGCGCCCCTCCTCTTTGCCAGTTTTTGGATTAGCTGGGAGTTTTGTCGGAGTCAGGTACTGGGAAGATGGTGTCAGCAGAGCAGCCCACTCTGACCTTCAAAATCGCTCTTCAGAAACTAGTGGGTGACATAACGGTAGCTGCGTCCATCTTTATATACAGTCTATGATTTCAACACATTTCAGACTCTAACAATTTGAGCTGATAAGTGCAAAGTTATCAATTTTTGACACCTAGAGCTACAGTGAGAGGGTGTAACTGAGATCCATTCAGGTGCCCTCACAAACCAGAAGGAATCACTAGTGCTGCAACAGAGCCACGATCCCTCACTGGCTTCCCACTCACAAACACTGCCAATTATTTTGGTTGGAATGCACAACCAAGCCGAGGGTACTACTGCCAAGAAGTGATCCCGGGCAACCCAGAATATGTTGCACATAGTGCAACAGAAAGCAGAGAGGGGAACAACCAAGCATTAGCACCTTAACAAGACAAAACTGCAAATATCTTCTCATTATTAAATGTGGCAAAATATTCTGTAACACCATGTAACGCATGCATTTACTCATTATCTATACCACTTATCCTATTCTGGGTTGCGGGGGGCTGAAGCCTTTGCATGGCTTACACAAGGCGAGAAGTCTGGTACATCCTGGAGACAGCACTGTCTGTCACAGGGCTAACACAGTCATGCTCACAGTCACAGTCACACCTATGGGCAGTTTAGAGGCCAGTTTAGGAAGAAATCAGAGCACCCAGAGGAAGTGTTACTCGCTAAATAAACACTACAATATCATAAACAGTTGTGTTTTTGTTTGTTTTTTACACTTGATTTATCAGTAAGACCCAACTATGAATTGTATATAGCTTATTATATTTAATGTAAACAATCAAAAGATTGCAGCTGGTCCTCAAGAAAAATTACATAATACACCAGTGAAAAGACACTGCATGTGCCATCTTCATAAAAACCTTAATAACGTTCAACAATCTGTCATGCTTTCCTATCAAAACATGACTTTACAAGTCTCTACCAACAGGGTAAATAAATAAAACCATCATATGTATAACTTTAACCAGAATCCACTTAACATTTTCATCTTTCTAATCCAGTGTCAGCAGATTTCTTGTGAGAAAATCATGTTTCCAGTACACACAGCCAATTAATCAGATCCTGTGACAGCCAGGCAAGCATACAGCAAGCTGTGTTAATCTTGTGATCTGATCTAGGATAAGCACATCTTTGCCACATCTGATCCTGAAGTGTTGCACTGAGCTGAGCACAAATCAGATGACAAGGTGAAACCACTGAATTTGTAAGCATCACGCCCCCCCCCCCCCCCCCCACATACACGCACATATACACATATATATATATATATATATATATATATGTGCACACAAACACATAACACTCACACAAAGACTCTCAATTCTTAGCTCAGCTCCCAACAGAGAAAGCACAACGTGAGTGCAGGGGGAACAGGAGGAGGAGGAGGAGGAGGAGGAGGAGGAGGAGGAGGGCAGCGTCATCGTGGTGGTCTGACCATCGGAGTGAGACATGAATGGCTGCGTTAGCAGTGCCCTGGAGGGGCAGCCAAGCTCTCAGCCACTTAGCAGAGTATGCTGAACAGATAGTGAGGTAGATCATGTCATACCGGACCTTTACATGTGTATCTACTGTACATGCAATGCAGTGTCGAAAATCATGAGGTTATAAAAATGGTGAGATGAGATCAGAGGAGGAAACAGTTGGATGAGTAAGAGGATGAAAACAAACCTTCAGTCCATAATCATGATGCAGGAGCAGCTTTCCTTCATTGCAGAGGAGATGACAACCTGCTACATCAGGCGCACAGGTCTTCAACAAAGAAGAGAAAAAGTGAGATGGAAACTGTAATCCCCTAAATGCTTCCTTGGCACACTGTACTCTCTGCATCACCCTGCCTGCTCTATGCCTGTGTGTGAGAGTGTGTATGTCTCTGTCTGTCTCCCAGACACTGATAATAATAGGCTGCAGAAAAAATGCTCCTCTGTGAAGAATACTAGACATCAGATGTAATGAGGCTGCGGACTGCCATCCTTTCCAGGCCATGAAATGTCTTTAGCCCATAAGATTGCATTAGCCAGTTGAGCCAGCTCAGACTAAAATAAACCCTGCTGAGGGTTTATTAAAACTTCTGTGGCTTCCAAGAGACTGACAGGGCCATGGGTAATATCACAGGGCACGGAGATACATCAATATGACAGCATCATTGTAAATAAAAACAATGTTTCAAGAATTAACTGGAAACAAGGCCCAACAAATAACTTCCTTTACACTCCAGAGTACATAAGAAACCGGCATAAAGTCATAAAACCCGAGTATAATGTGAGAGTAAATCATCTTATTTCTAGATACCACGAATTTTCTTGTTTTAACTGTTTATTTCCTACAATAACTTACAAATAAAGAGACAAATCTGTTGAACAATATTCTACAATATTTTTCATTCATTTTGTTATTGAAGTAACTCAGCGAAAGAGCCCGCATATGAATACTGTGACATCATAGGAGATGAAATATAGCGACCGTTACGAAAGAAAGTCTAAAATTTCCCCGTTGAGTAACACACAACGTACTTTACGCTGCACAGAAATAAAGTAGTAAGAGACGAGCCTTAATGCATGTGGTGAAATTACACGAAGCGACGTGTAAAAAGCTTAAAGCCGTTCAAATGTTAGTTCAGTGCCAATCAGTGTTGTTGTCAGTGAGCAGCAGCAGTGTGTTAACGGACTCAGGTTGACAGTCCCGTTAATGTGTCATCGGACTGTGCCGCTAATACGATGAAATATCTACATCGATGCTCTAACAGCTTTTCATAGCGGAGCACAGACTCGCCACACATCACATACAGGCATAAACGGACGGTAAAACAACCCAAAAAACTGGACCAAAATTATATTTCACACTTACACGGGTGAGGGCAAACTGTTGGAGCTGACACAGACGTTTGGTGAGCGGCACCCCACCTCCGACTGCCGTACGCCCCACCGTCCGCCCTCCCTCCCCGTTCTGACGTCATGACGTAAACTAGCGGCAATTTAACCAAAGATTGTCCTGAGGTATGATGTATCACTCGCCAGTTGAAAATTTGATAAATTGACCCCTGCCTCTCGCATGCAACAAATGTCTTTTCAGGAACTACACGCTTACCAAATACATGTGTGCTGCATTACCCAGCGAGCTAAACCAAAGTCTGTGCATAATTTCGTTCCAAAAATGTTGTGTTGTATTTATTTTAAATGTTTGTCTGCAATACAGAGTTTGGCTACACTGGAATATGTGGTCAGGAGTTAATCTGCTAGAGAAAATGCTGTGATAAACTATTAGAATGACATTAAAGGATAAGTTAGCTATTTTTCCACCCAGCACTGATGTCTCCAATTAGAGATGAAATAATTAGGCAATTAATGAATTAGCTGATCAAAAGAAAACATTTAGACAATTCATAATAGATTAATGATCAAGTTATTCATTTAGAAAAAATGCCAAACCATTGGTCAGATATTGGTAAGACAAAAAAAAAAAAAAAACGTTTTCATGATTTCTATTTTCTTTGACACTTTTCTGTCTGTAGGTGACTGTTGGCTTTTGTTCTCGTTACCTAATTTGGGTTTGTTGGGATAAAAAAAGAGGGCCACAAAATACAATCAGTTAAAAATTACAGAGCATAGTTTGTGATACTTTTTTGGTTGAATAAAATGATATGGCTGACCTGATTCACATTGTGGGAAAATAAACTTCTGAAAACTTATTAGTGTTTTAATATGGTCTTGGCTGAAATTAATACACCTTTAAACATTATGCAGCTTTGTCTAAATTCAGCGTGGGTCACTGACTCCCAGAAAACTAGATGGTCTACAGGTTTTCATTAAAAAGTGAAACCACTCTCAACGGCTAGAGATTTAGTTCACCTCATCTCTGCAGAGAACCAACCACAAACAAAACAGATGATTATATAATGAAATCTTCTGCTGAGAACCCAGTGGGAAAATAGTAATGCAAAATATTTGCTATGGTTTATCTCATACCAATACAAAAAAATCCTGTCATATTCAGGAACATTCAGTGTTAATCTTTTGTTAGCAATGTCTATTATGCAACTTACATTTTTGAAAATATCCTTTAAAGTTACTCTCAGTATTTGTAAAGTTTATAGGCTGGTTACATATCACAGAGTATTGCTCTTGTGAAATAGTAGCAGTAACGTAGCCTAACAGTCTTCACCATGACTATCACCTGTCAAACACGTCTAACCATTCTCACATCTCTTCTTCACATCTCTTCTTCAGTGGTCAACAGGGGTCTTATTCATTCCGTATCCATGTATGTATGCCAGCAAAATGAAGCTTGAAACCTTATTCCAGAGCACCAGTTTTACATCAAGCCTACATTAACTTCAGCATTTCTGTACTCTCACCTGCTCGGAGGATAGCATGATGTGCTGGTAGAGGCATTTCATTTCTGGATAATAAGTGCATGGTCTCTTTCTCATAGCCTCGGTAGCTATGGCAACATAAAATGTATCTCCAGTGTCAGTGCTGAAAATCGCTCTTTTCATCCAGGCCTTTGAGATTTCAGGCGTGAAAAGGTGAGAAACATAAACCAACAAAAAGCTGACTTTATGTTTAGTAAAGTGAAACCTTTACACACAATTGATTTATTTTCTGTTCAAGATTAAGTATTTCTTAAGTGTCAACAGGCTGTGAGATAAACAGTATGTCAGCAGTACAATCAAAGACAACTTATTTTATATGAGGTGAAGAGCAATAATTGGCACCCAATGAAATTGGAGCTTGTACTGATCCAGGTGTAACATCTAAAGATATATTCTGTACGTCATCATGTTTGATGTCTTTTTTTATGCTTACAGTCAGTCAAAAATGCCTGCCCTTTTGGTTTATAATAATTTTTGATCAGCAATATAAATAGTGTATATACCATATATTTTTTAATTCAGGGCTCCAAACTCTGAGATATGGATTGTTAGTCCTCAAAAAAAAAAATAGCTGCATGTATATATATTCTGTTCATCTAAATGAATATACTGTAATCCAACAGATTAGGTAGTTAGAGAAATGCTGATTTCTGAAGGAATACATCTGTTACTTAAGTACAATTCTGTATGATGGTATTTGTTGCTGTACTTGTGGTTGAATTTCTCTCCACTAGATGGTAACAGTGACTCGGACATGCGGGTGAGAGCAGTTGTGTGTTTTTACAGTGGTATGTATCAGAACATACGGTATGTATGTAGTCTATATCCCCCTGTTGTTCAGCTATGTTGAATATCTTATATGAAAACCATACCGAACGCTCTCTACATGAACTGTATAGTGTTGTGACTTGTGAATGGCTGCAGGTGTTTATATAACCTGTCTGTCCAGTTCCTAAACTCAGCTGTAGTCACTTGGGTACCTGGTGGAGCTTAGAAGAGGAAGATGGGGAGAAGAGGTGTAGGGACGGGGGGGTGAGATGATACATGAGGGTTTGAGGAAGGAGAACACTGTGTGTAATATGTGAGTGTATCTGGATGGGTTTTCTGGTTTTTATTTTTTTGTAATAGTTCTGTAATAATCTACAATTCCCACAATCTGTTCTGTTCTGCACTTCCTTTTAACACGTCACAAATGTCATGTCTTCATATAGGTCTTTTGCACCTGATCCTGGACAACTAGTTGACTTGGAAGTGTCACCGTTTTCTTAAATTCACAGCCTTACAAGAAAGTTGCTTTTTATACAATACTTTAAAAATTGGGGAAAAGTGAGAGTGTGAGTCACTTAATGTTGGAGAACAAACAAGCAAAATCTATTGGTGAAGAACCAAAACAAAAAATGATGAAAGGAAGAAAGATAAAAAGAAAATGCATATTACAGCATATGCCTTACACAGTACAGCAGCAGAGTCTGTACCTGCACAGGTGTGTCTAAGTGACTAAGAATTATGGTAGACAAACAAACAATATAATAATAAAGGATATAATTCTATTAGATGTAACAAATGGACGTTGTGCTTTACTTCTTGTAACAAGAAGCCAAATCATGCAACCAAAAGGTTAGATCAGCGGTCCCCAAACTTTTTTCAGTGGGGGCCACATCAACTTTCCTTTCTGAGATGGGGGGCCGAGGTTAGTCTATAACAGGAAGCTAGCCGCCGCTGCAATGCTGGGCGCAATGCCTGTGCCGGGGAGGGGGGGGGCGCCAGCGGGCGGCTAGCTCTGCTTGCTGGGTGCAATGCCTGTGCCCTGTATGGGAAGGGGGCTGGGGGGGGGGGGCGCCGGCGGCGGCCGCGGGCGGCTAGCCTTCGGTGCGCTGTTTGTGGGCGCAAAGTGCCTGTTGCACGGGGGGAGGGGGAGGTTGGGGAGCTGGCGGGGTGCCCGCCCGGCAGCTAAGCTCTGCTTGTCTGGGCGCAATGGCTGTGCCGGGGGGGCCGCCTGCCAAAGGGGCGTTGCTAGCTTCTGCTTGCTTGGGTGCAATGCCCTGTGCCTGATCAGGGGGGGTGGCTAGGCGGCCGTGGCGGGTTATAGTGCCGCGCGGTCGGACTAGCTCTGCTTGCTGGGACGCAAATGCCTGTGCCGGGGGGGGGGCGAGCGGAGCGTACAGGGCTCCGCCGCGCGACTCGCACTGCTGGCCGCAATGCTGTGCGGGAGGGGGGGGCGCCGCTGGGCGGTCTAACTCTGCTTGCTGGGTGCAAATGCCTGTGCCGGGGGGGGGGGGCGCCGGCGGGGCCGACTCGTTGCGGACTAGCTCTGCTTGCTGGCGCGAATGCTCGTGCCGGGGGGGGGGGGGAGCTGGCGGGCGCCGCCGCGGGCGGCTAGCTCTGCTTGCTGGGCGAGATGGCTGGGGGGGCGCGAGGGCTAGCGCGCGGTGCAATGCGTGGCCCGGGAGGCGCGGGGCGGCCTGGCGGGCCGGCTGGCTATCTCGCTTGCTGGCGCCTGCAATGCCTTCGGGGGGATGCGCCGCGGGCGAACTGGCTCTGAGTTGCTGGAGCAGCAAGGTGCTGCCGGGCGGGGCGCCGGCGGCGCCGGCGGGCGGCGGGCGGCCTAGCCCTGCTTGTCTGGCGCAATGGTGCTTAGCCCGGCGGGGGCGCCGAGCGGCGCCAGCTGGTCCAGCTAGCTGCTCTTGCTGGGCGCGAATGCCTGTGCGGGGGGGGGCCCGCGGGCCAGCGCGCGCATGGTCACTCTTCATATCTGTAGTGTGCCACCAACCATTAAGGGACTAGTTGAATGTCAAAACGGAAAAGTTTGTCAAAGGTCCACAAGTTTGTGTTCTACGGACTCGGCTCGTTCCACGCTGAGCTAAACATATGGTAGCCCCAAGCCTATCTCGGAGGTCGCTGCCCTTTCTGAAGGGCCAGCCATGGGTGGTCTCTCATATGCTTGACCCGGGGGGACACGGGTTAAAATTCTGTGTTTTAATAATTTTTCCGCCAAAAATTATCCGAAAGTCACATTTTGGGTGTCTAACGGGACTCGGCTCGATCAGCTGAGTAGACATAAATCAGGCCGCCTAGCGCTTTTACTGGAGTTTCGCTCTCCGATTTTCCGAAGGGGCCAGCCGATATGGAGCGGACTCTCTAGTATGCTCTGCGGCCGTGCGGGATAACTAGCGCGATGTAGATTCCTTGTTTTTTATCAATTAATTTCCAAAAAAGTTTTCATCGAGAAAGTCCACAAATTTGGTGTCAACGGACTCGGCTCGTCAGCTGAGTAAATATTCAGCCCAGCCTTTGAGTCGCGCTCCCGTTCACGAGGCCGCCATGGGTCATCTCTCATATGCTGGAAAAAAAAAGTTTTTGCCACAAGCGGTCCAGCTGTCCCCAAACTTTTTTCAGTGGGGGCCACATCAACTTTCCTTTCTGAGATGGGGGGCCGAGGTTAGTCTATAACAGGAAGCTAGCCGCCGCTGCAATGCTGGGCGCAATGCCTGTGCCGGGGAGGGGGGGGGCGCCAGCGGGCGGCTAGCTCTGCTTGCTGGGTGCAATGCCTGTGCCCG